TAGAATGAAAACGAGAAAGGTTCTACTGTTGCTGATCACGGCAAGAACCACACAATGCAATGAAATGCAAGCAGCATCGTTTACATGGAAGCCAACTGCTGAAAAAGAAAGGTATTGAAAGTAATCACGGCAGAATGAACAAAAAGCAAGATTAACAGGCACGAAAAAAACATACAAGATCATTAATCTTTAATGATATGACAACAATTATGTAGTAGGGCAGCAAAAACCTATATGCTGTAATGAATTCATAGCTGTCGATAATAGTCTTTCTCGACCTACTATTATATAAAGGCCTCAGCGAGATTCTGCTATAAAACACTGTTTCTGTAATCCGTATCCATCACAATTCCACCAGATTTAAACAAATTACCTGATTCTATCCTGCGCCACCCGTCGTTTGTACTTTCAAGATACTTAATAATAACAGCATTCCTGTAGACCTTGGCCATGAGGACTGTTTGCTTTCCCGATTTCCTGATACGTTGAAACATCACATACAGTTTGCACATAGATTTCTGCGAAAGCCCTCCTGAAGTCGATAAATCCTAACTACCTGATATTCATTGTCTGTCTGAATCATCTGAAGGTTACCATCGTATTAAACTCGCTTTTGGAACATCCTTGCTCTCTCGGCTGCACAGAGTTCAGTTTCCCTGAAAGCTGTTCATTACTAAATCTGTGAAGATTTTGTGGATGATACCTGTAGTATTTCATATTTTCTTTTTTTGTACTGTTCTGCTTACTAGATCTTCGATTTTTAATCTGAGAAAAATAAGGCACGTCTGGCTGATACTAATAAATTAAGATAAACACTGCACCAAAATCTATATGCTCCATGAAAAAAGAATGCAACAAATACCATCCATTACAGAAGTGCAAGGGAGGAGACATTCGAACGGTTAAATATCTACTTTCTTTACGACATCTTAATCACATATCCCAGTGTAGTGCTGTTGCTTGGCCTGATCTAATTTTACCTATAAATCTTAATATCTCACTGTTAATACATATATAATAGCGATCCTAATATATTATCTTACTTAACTGGCACCTTGCAATCAATCAAATTGCTAGGTAGTCTTCAAAGTAGATCTGCTACCCGTTTAGGGCAACAAATTAACTTCAAAAAGTATCTGACTGATTCGGCAAGGATAGAAGTCTGCGACCAGTTCACTAATAGAGTCGATCTGGCACATTGACAGATGAAGCACAGAACATATTAAATACTGGGAAATTATTATAAAAAATAAACTGTTGAAAAACGAACATATTGTAAACGACAGAAAATTATTTCGATTCTACGTGAAATTACTTATCCAACTGGAAATCCGTTCCTTGCACAAAGCGAAGCTTTTCCAAAGGAACACCGATCGTTTCGAGCATCATCTTAACAACCGTTTCATAATACTTTGATCTGAGTTGCAGCAATTCCCATGGCGCCTTCATATTATCAAGGTATGCGTGCAGATCGGCGAAAAGAATCGTCACCTAAAAATCGAGGGTCATAAATTTGCAAAAGCTACACAGGAATTCTGCTCTTTTGGCAGGATTTAACTTTGCCCGCTTTCCTTTGAAAAAAAGCAAAATTTTTAGGCAAACGACTTGCAACATGCAACTTATAGCATCACTGCGTTGGCATCTGTTATTCTGAAAGCCGTTTAAATGACGTATACAATTTGGAAAGCTTCTGTGCACAGCGTGTTCTTGAAAAATTTAAGTTGAATTGCAAAGAAAGTCGGCCAATCTTCAGCATTACTGCACAACACTTCTGGTATCTCTGATTAGCTCACAACTAGTGGGAAGGAGGATTCCATTTCTGTTGTATATCACGTCTTGGGCAATAAACTAATCAAATCTATTACACTGAACAAAACAGGTTGCTACTTTCAATGATGTCATTAAAAATAAAAAAAGGTACTGTATGTATTTCGCAACATCCATCATACAAATATCTGACGATATTGTGGGCTACGTGAAGCACTTTACAAAGCTGTTATGAAGCCAGTATTCTGGTGGCTCTGTAATAGCTAGCTCAAAGCTCCCATTAAAAAGTTGTAAGAGACTGCAAATAGTTATCATACCAAAAAGTATGTCGGCAGCGTAAAAAACAATCATTTCAAGCCAGTGCATCAGATTACTCAAATGAGAGAACACGAGTATTCTGTTTTACGGACAGCATCCCATCATTGTGCATGAGAATAAGCGCAAATGCAAATGCATATTCAGACTGTTAGTTCATATTCCCGAGGAAATTCATATTCTGGCAAACATTTCAGCTGATCTCTGCCAGCATCGATAAATCGACATCGAACATAAATTATCTGCAAAAGATACTTCACCTCTATCCTGCAATTTCACTTTAATACGTTAAGAAAGCTGGTGTATTTCACAGAGCCTGAAGTTACAGTTCCCTGGGGAGTGAAACTCACATTTTAGAACAATGGTCACCTGTCAACTTGGTTATAGTTTTACCGACCGAGCCTGCTTTCGACGTTGTTGAATGTTGTTTGAGAAACAATAGAAGCAAAGCCGTCGGTCGACACCTGCCAACACAACGTTCGCAAATGGTGCCTTTCAAAATCAATGGTGACCCACAACATCAGCGAACTGAAATTTACCCACCGAATAAAGTGTCAAGTTCTGGAAAACGAAAATCTGAAGAAAACGTCTGCAAATGAGGTCCCAATAAAGTTAAACTAAACATCTGATCAAGCCTCAAATAACTAGCCAGAGTGGGAGCTTTTAAGAAAGGCCGTTACCTTTTCGGATTCCTCATGTGGACATAATAAAGACTGAAGTAATTCGTTATGGATCTAACAAAGTCTGATGACAGCAACCATATACCGGGTTTTCATCTTGGTCGTCAGCAGTAGAAGCAACAAGGAATCTATCTATACCTTTTAGGTCTGATTTATTTGTATGACAGAGGCACCTACGCATATGCGGAGAAGAAACGTTTCTAGAATGCAACCCTTGTGGCAGCTAGCAAATTGCAATAAATTAATTTTAAACGTGAATAAAAGCGAGACACTCTCCATCTTGGGTCGCACCTTCGGATCCTATGTGTTATCCGCCCTGCACTTTTAACTCACAACTTCAATCTCTGTTAATAAGCGTTACGTTAATAATACTCAGAACGTCCAAACAACAGTTACAAGCTTAGGTTTGGATCAAAACCTACATTTAATCTCAACAATCTGTCCAGGTCGGCCGTTCACTGCTTTATCTTGTGGACACAGAGTTCGCACAGGTAACTGTCGAAGACGACCATGGCGCTATTCCCAATCACAACTTCACTCTCGCAGAATTAGATAGGCGTCATTATAAAGCGGGAGATGAAATATATAGTCTTGTTAGCGGGAGATGAAGTATATAGTCTTGTTAAAAAGCAATGTCAACAAGGTCGG